AAAATATAATGTACGATCCTCTCATGCTCTTTGATCAACAAGTGCTTGAGAGTAAAAAAGATATATTTAAAATCGGTTAAGTAGTGTTTCTGTCACAATATATGCTATATGACGAGCTAATTACCGCGTTAATCAATTTTTCATTAAAAGATTTCGGCCATAAAATTTTAAACAAAGTTAGATTAAAATTGTTATAAAAACCCACAGGTGATATTTCAAATGAGTTAATAATTAGCGAACAGTTATTGTAGACTGAATTTAAGTTCAATTTCAATAATAATAATAATAATAATAATAATAATAATAATAATAATAATAATAACAACAACAACAATAATAAAGTGATAATAATAACAATGATATAAATAAAATATATAATAAAATAAATTATTATTATTTGATTATTTAGTTTTGATGATATTGATCATCAGGTCATTAGAGGATTACTCTATCACTGATTCAATCAACCATTGCGTTTGCAAACTTCAAACAAACTCTTCAAAATCATAGCTCACCCGCTTTTGTGTCGCGATCTTTGTGGGAAAATGATAACGTGACGAGTAGTGATGATGTTTGGCGGTGTGGTGATGTGATGTTGTGTGGTGTGGTGCGGTGTGGTGAGTGTGGTGAGGTATGCTGTGGTGTGGTGGTTTGTAGTGATAGTGCGGTGATTTGACAAGGTTATGAGATGATATGGTGATGTGGTATGTCTTCATGCAACTCACAACATCACTAATTACAGGTTTCAAAATATCGGAAACATCGAATGGTCTTCGTGAGTTGGATCAAATGAATATTTTTGATGATCTGCTTCTAAGACATTTACGATACTTTTTTATATTTTTTTTAAGTTTTGTTTGAAAGTTTTCCTGTTAGTCTTCACGGTCAAACAATCGTTTTAAAAGCAAAGAAAATAATTAATACCACTTACTTAAGCAATAACACCCAACTAGCAATCAGCAAAAATATCAATTCAAGAACGATTTCCATTACGATCGTCTTCCTTCCTAAGACTCTAACGATACAATAATTAATGTCTTCTATCATCTCCATCTCAAATGATATCTTAATTGTTGTTACTCATTGCAGCAATCACCATCTTTGATGCAGTTGCAGTAGACAGAGTAATCTTCCTCCTCATCCTCCTCACCATCATCATTGAAAAAATTCTTTCAACGATATTTGGCAATTATCGTAGGGTTCTACACACACGATCACACGTGCACATACACAGAAACACGTATACCAACGCACACATAAAAACGCACACAAAACATACATAACACACATACACGCAAACAAGATATCAAAAACAAATAGCTCCTCACCATCACTGCGTGTCTCTGTATATCGTGCATGTGTACGTGATCAGACACTTAGTGTACGTGATTAGACAATTTTTACCCACCCACATCATAGAACACCAACACACACTACAGTCCGTTATGTGCAATAAATATAGCATAAACCATTATTTAACAGAATGCTATAATGATGACTGGAAAACACACACACACTATTAAACCCACACACACACACACTATTAAACCCACACACACACACACACACACACACTATTAAACCCACACACACACACACACACACACACACACACACACACACACACTATTAAACACACATACACACGCACATACAACCTCCATCCGTACAACAGAACCGCATACAACTCCTATATTACTTTGTTGCAATGTGTAAACCGTGCAGGCAAATTTGGATGAGATGCAGCAAACATCGTTCGCTTGTTTTTTTTTCCTTTTTTCATCGTGATCTCCTTGATCACAGCCATTAATTTTCCAAACCTACAATTAACGCAACTTGGCATGGGTTAATTATTTTGAGATGTTTTGAGATATTTGTGATAATGATTTAAAAAATGGAGATGGAAGGAAATGTATTGATTGAAGATCAACTGAAGATTGCACTAATAACATATCAAAAATTTCCCCCATTAGTACAAATTTGTTTCAGATATTTATTCTTGTAATAAGAAAAAACTTTTTGTGAACATTCATAGTTTGTTTTTTCCAATATAAACTTTTAAGATGTCATTAATTCAAAATGTCGGATTCGGGTATAAATTTTCCTGACTCCAAATCATTCATTGAAAACTTTCAAACTCCAACTCCGATTCCGACTCCTCGCCAGACTAGACAGTTCGGCTTCAGATTAACTTAAAAAATTAACCAGGTACTTCTATATATAAATATTATTTATATGACTATTAAAACTCCTTATTGGCCATGATGGACATGTTTTGAAAATTGTTATTTTTTAAACCATACTAATCTGTTGTTAAAGGCTGATATGAAAAAGCCATGATCAATTTTGTAACATAGCTGATTGTCAATTTACTTCATCAAATGTTCAGGCAATGAAAAACTATTATTTCACGCAAAATTTACGAAATTCGATCAGTAAAACGTAGACATTGCAGCACAACAACATTCAAGAAATCTCTGAATTCATTCATTCGCTGGTCATGAAAAACTACCCTGCTTATCTGATCGAAAGGTTTTTTTCTGACCAGCAAGCGTGCTTTTCAGGCATTTTAAATCTGTGTTGTTTTGCTGAAAATTCTATCTACATATACCCCGTGTTACATTTCTAAGCATCAAATCTGTTAACTCTGAAATACATATATGCATTGATATTAATATAGAAATTAATGGAATTTTTTTCTTTTTAGTTTTTTATATGTTATCAAAATTTCAAACACTTCCTGATTGTGAGTAGAAGAAATTAACTGAAATATATTCTCATGGCGAAACACAATGATCCAATATTAAAATCAAAATATATTTTAAGCATCGTTTAATTATATTGGGCACAACTTTGAAGCAACCGGGCTGCCATGTGCTGAGCTGTTTGAAGTGGAGTCACGTTTATTTGTGAATCATTAGCGCCGGGTTTTCAATTCAGCATCATAGCACTGCATCCTTACAAGTCATTTAACTTTCAATGAAATTCTTGTAGATTTTTGACGATGTTGTTTCTTACGCTCCAGAGTTTATAACATGAACAAGAAAAAAATAATCGTTTGTGATGAATGAGCGCTGTAAAATGTGAAATGAATTACACTGGCTTCCTATGCCAGTGAGAATTAAATTAAAAATAGTCCTGATTGTGAGAGATTGTCTTATATAATATAATATAAGAGAAATTGTGAGGTCAGTTTTTGAAATGACTGGCTGAATGAATGACTTTGATTGAGATATTCCGTCAACGGTGATTTTTGTACTTCCGCCATTCAAATCTGCTCATTTTTGAAGTAGGTTTTCCGTTTCTTTTGCCAGGTATTGGAATGACCTACCAGTCAACTGAAGCATAACATAAAGATTGGTTGTGATGAAATTTAGAAGTGGATTAAAAACCACTTGTTCAACAACTCGGAGTCAAGAAAGCGCCTCTGAAGTTTTCTCCAAAAAAGCGCCCTACAAATTTTGGATAAGATATATCAAATAATGGAGTATATAAAGTCTAACAGATTTATTGACATGCAATTAAGTTTTGTTCTTCATTTATTGTTATCATATATATAATTCATAACGTATCTTGCTCATGATCAAACAGTACCAACTGTAGTATAGGATGTGCTAAATTAATTAAAATATGCGGAACATGCCATATAAAAATTTATTCGTAGCTAGGATAATTCCATCGACTAGCATTTTTTTACATTAAAACAATTTTTGTTATTTTGACGATTATTTTTAAATATATATATTTGAATCAATAAAATGAAAAGTAGACCTACTATATTTTATCCTTGACAAAAATAGCAGTTAGACCTTACTTTACACGTCTAAGGATATATCACAGCGGTTAATTAATTTTAATATAACACACATACCCTATATAAGAGAACACCTCCGTGGAATGTTGTTAGTACTGGAATTGTCCTACTTCTCCGCCACCTGCAAAACTCAGAATGGATCTCGAAACCCATCTACTTAATACGAAAAGCGCTGTTGAACACAACGGAAATTGTGCTATAAAAAATTGATTATGTGTTTTTTATAATAAACACTGCTAGGAGCAAGATCAGCCTTGGCGACACATAACTTTCGCAACAAACCCTGATGAAAAAAATGAGTGATTATCGTGGGTGGGGGATCATCATGTTACAATTGCTGAACTTTATAACATATTCGTATAAAACTAAGTTTTCTATATCTATAAATATATTTTTTTATCCAATAGTTACGATAAAATCAGTAATGTTTGTAACATAAATTAAACAATCAAAATGGAATAATAATAATAGCACGAATGTTCAAGTTTATGTGCTATATATCGATCCCTTTATTATTATTGTTATTATTGTTATTAATTCAAAGGACCATGTAAATGCACTGGACAAATGTGAATATAAATTTAATTTGTTTAATATGTTTTCCTAATTCTAAATATTTTAATATTCTATATATGATTTATTTTAAGCTGAATAATCATTGCTAGTAGCTTATTCTGATATATTTCAATCCCATTCGCATATTGTCCTCTTTCTTTTATCAGCCTGAAATATGAGGTCTTTTGATCATTGTTATTTATTTTATTTATTTACCATTTTTGCGAGATTTTAACAACTAACAAGTAAAACGTAACATCTTATACTCAAAAAAAAATTTTAATCGAAATTTTCATCTTATTGGCCGGTATTCCACATTTTTTATTTAATGTAATCTTAAGCGTTTGAATTTTAAACAATTAACTAAAATAAAATTTCGGCACAGAAGTTCCAGCAAGCAAGGCAAGGTTGTTGTATTGTATGTTTTTTTTTATTTTTTTGTTTCCTTGATGGCGTTCTGTCGTCTGCATTTTTAATTCACTTTGTATTCTTCTTTGTTGCACAGATCTCAATCGATTGCTAAGAAGATAAGATACGTGGTGTAGAAAAAAGAGTTGAATAGTCATTGCTGGTAGCTTAGCTAATTATATTCTGCTCTCTGCTCTGTTCCTTTGGAGAAAACAAGGCCTGCATGGACAAGTTCAAAAGAACGTTGAGTTTGAAAAAGAAAAAAGAATCGTCAGGTGGAGAGTCGATTAAACCACATCAGTGGCAGGAAGATGAACGTAAGGTCAGGGAAGGGTCATGCAGCTTTCAAGTTAAGGTCAGATATTTTTTTTAATGTAATCGTAATGTAACTTTTAAATTAAAACAATGTTGTGTTTTTTTATGTATTATATTAAGATGTTTATAAATACAAGTTTAAGATCAGTCTGTTCAGTTTAAAAAAAAAATTGTATACCAACAAGTACATTACCTATAAAAAATGATACTTAATATTAAATTTTTTAATTATTTTTGTAAATAAATGTAACTGAACTAAATATAATTGCAAATAATACAATAACACACATATATTTGCACATGTTCAGTACTTGGGCTGTATTGAAGTGTTTGAATCAAGGGGAATCCAAGTTTGTGAGGATGCTGTCAAAGCACTGAAAAATGTTTGTCATGTAAATTTATTTATTTATTAATTATTAATTGTGCTACTTGTTACCTGGAAGTTGTTTTTTTTTAATATTTTTGGTTTTGTTAATTTGGTTCACTAGTTGAGTAGCATGTTTATCGTTTAGTTAAGTTTTTTTTATTTAACATTTAATCTTATGTTATCTGTCAAAAATTTAAGAATCATTCTATATAGTCAACTCGACTTATTTGAAATGTTAGAAAAAAGCTTAAGTGTGGGGTTTTATAGTTGAAATTACAGAAAAAGAGTCGCAGTTTTTGGTCTAGGATGTCACTGAGGAGGAAAAAGAAAAGTGATGATGCGAGTCAGGTACAATGATGCAATCTCCATTACATATTCATTTTTCTCTAACTACTTTCCACTGATAAACTATTAACATTTTTATAAAATTCTTCACTACAGTCTGTGAAATTCGATCTTCCATAATTTGCTTTAAAACTTCATAGGATACATTAACCACACTCATGCTAAATAGTTAATTAATCAGCTTTTTCTCTTGCCAATAACTTGTCCATATTTATAGTAATCTGCTTTAGCAATAACTTTAAAAACACCTAACAAACAATACACATTGGTGATGATTGTATTAGTTTGTTAACACGTATTTATTTAACATTGCTCTGATTGACATGTTATGAGAAATGAAAAATTATAACATGTAATCATTGTGGATAATATTCTTACCTTTAATGTTATTTTATATAAGGTTTTTAACATTTCAGCTTTCTTTTTGTCATATTATTAACATCTTATTGTTTATTGTATATCAGATTTTAACATTTTGTTTTTTTTATTTTTTAACATTTCTTTAGTGTAACAAGTCTCATTTCACTTAATTATATTTTCTTAGTTTTCTAATTTTTTATTCTTCATAATTTTATACAATTTTCTGTTTTTGCGATAAAGTTGGGTGTTCTAAATTTTTAAAATATTTTGATTGCTTCCTTTCATTGATTGCACGAATGCATTTGTTCTGATTGTGTTCTTTGTGGATCAGTCTGTCAAACAAAACAATTTTTTGCTACGCCAATCTCCAAAACTGCTGGTGCCCAATAAATCAAATGTTAATTATTCAGTAAGTTATTCCATGTAAATGTGATTAGCATGGATATATGTCGTTTTTGGTTTAGCATGTTTTAAGCATGATGCAGTTTAATGCAATCAGCAACTATTTCAAATTAACAGTGCTTCAGTAAAGTTCGATCAATAAATTCAAACGATGAATGATTATTAATTAGCAACAAGTGTATGCTCTTGCAGTACATCAATAATTTTTCTTTTTACATCAGTGGCAGAGCCAACACTGAAATTATTTTAAAATGATTGACAGCACATTGACATTCACAATTTTGTGTTAATTTACACCTCAATATTTTGAATGAACCATTTTGATTAATTTTATGATGAAGATGGCCTGCATTAATAAATGGACAACTTTTTTATATTTCTTCTCATAAATAATTTCAATGTATTTTTATAAGTTATAAATTTTTGTCTTTCTGTGGATTGCTACAAATTTTTAATAAATAAAATTGATAACATTAATAATGTTGTGATGGTAATGAAGATGATGATGCTGCTGCTGATGACGATGATGATGATGATGGCATTGTTTGTTTGCTGGATGACAGGATTAATATATCCCTCTTTGAAAATGATATAACAAAATATTTATTGTTTAACATTATTTTGATGCTGCCAATTTATTGTACATGATACTTTATGATGGTATATAGCATTTTACATTCCTTGTTATTATTTAAGCAAAACTGAATGATTAATTGTTTGAAATGTTTACCACATGTGGTTAATTAATCACTAGCTTTGGATGCAATATGGAATGATTGATCGATGGATTGATTGACTGACTAATTTAATGATTGATTGATTGATTTATCGAACTGATTGATCGACTGATTGATTGATTATCAAATGGTTAATTGATTGATTATTGATTGGTAAAATAGTTGGTTAAATAATTGATTGATTAATTAATTTGCTGATTGAGCGTTTGATTGACTGATTGATTGATTGACTGACTGACTGATTGATTATTGATTGATTGATTGGTAAATTAATTGGTTAAATGATTGATTGATTAATTATTTACTGATTGAGTGATTGATTGACTGAGTGATTGACTGATTGACTGACTGACTGACTGACTGACTGACTGACTGACTGACTGACTGACTGACTGACTGACTGACTGACTGACTGACTGACTGACTGACTGACTGACTGACTGACTGACTGACTGACTGACTGACTGACTGACTGACTGACTGACTGACTGACTGACTGACTGACTGACTGACTGACTGACTGACTGACTGACTGACTGACTGACTGACTGACTGACTGACTGACTGACTGACTGATTGACTGATTGACTGATTGACTGACTGACTGACTGATTGATTGACTGATTGATTGACTGACTGATTGATTGTAGCAAAGCAAGAGTGGCCACCACATGGCAGTCCTGTACGTGACTGGTGACGCTCTGAGGGTGGTCGATGAGATCAGCAAGGTCGGTTTGTTGGTCATTCGTTCATTTCTTCAGCCATTGTTCATTTCGTTTTTTTTTTGATGATATTTTCTTGATTTGTTTTTTTATATACTTATTGTTTTTATAGCTGGTGATTTTATGATTTTATTCTTTCCTTTCCCTCCTTCATTCATTTACTGTTTCATTCAATCTTTTGTGAAATAGTTGTTATCCGTTATTTGTTATTCACATGTTATTTGTATCAACACATTCTCCTACCATTCATTTTTGTTGGTTGTGTTTGTTGTAACGTTATATACTACAAGCATACATGCATTCATATGTCTCTTTGACACAAAGTGATAACAATATCAATGTATCGGTGATTGTCTTTGTGCAATTTTAGTTACACAAACATAATTATCATTCGTGAGCAAGCTACAAAAATTCATCAAAATTAACTTTGAACTTTTTATCTACTTTATCCTAATCTTCATTAAATTCATTGTTACAGTGCAATGAAAAAATTCATGAGAATATTTTGGTCAATTAACATTTTTTGATAGTTTCAGTTAAGGAAGTGTGTAATTAATTTTTGCAGGGCTTGATAGTTGATCAGACAATTGAAAAGGTTTCATTTTGCGCCCCGGATCGCAATCATGAAAAAGGATTTGCTTACATATGCCGAGATGGTACCACGCGCAGGTTTCTAATTGTGGTATCATCCGTAATGAGTTTTCATTGTCAGCATTTAAGTATTTGTAAAATCAAATTCATCATTTTTCTCTTTCCCCCGCAAGAAAATAATTTGACAGATTTGTGTAACGTTCAATTTAAACATTTGTTGATAAAATTTAATTTCAGATGGATGTGTCATGGTTTTTTGGCTGTGAAGGAGTCTGTTAGTTTCATTTCATTTGTTGCATCTCATGTTCTTCAATTTTTGCACATGTCAGCTCACATCTGTTTATTGTTTCAACATGAGTATTTGTTTAATTTGAACAGCAGAACTTTTAGTTATATACTCATGTATATAATGCTTTTATGATGTCACTTTAATGCAAGTTCTCTATGAGAACATTCATCAAGTGCATGCTGCTATACATAAGTGAAACGAGACCCCACAATGTTTGTTTGAAGGGTGAGAGGTTGAGTCATGCTGTTGGTTGTGCATTTGCAATCTGTCTGGAAAAGAAGCAGCAGAGAGAGAAAGAGAAAGTAACAGTGACATACAACGACAATGGAACATCATTCAGTCGGTTGGGCTCCTTCAGGCAGGCCACAATGACCGAGAGGCTAACTGATCCTCAGAGTGCAATTTTGGCTGGTAGGTCACTCATTCATCTATAAGATTATTTCATTGAATTGTACTTTTGTCGTGTCAAACTGAAAGCCTGCTATTTGAAATAAAAGCGTTATAATCTATAGAGAATTGAAATAAAAAATTGACGCATACAATGTTCCTTGTAGAACCGATTCCATCCAAGCCGACCTCGAACCCGTATGCTGTCAAACGACCACACGCTCCGGTCGACATCCTGGAAAGGCAGGGGTCATTCAGGTCATTCAACAAACTTGCAGAGTCCTCTCCTTTCAAACGAAACATATCTCTACGTCTCAACGAACTGCCATCCAATCTCGAGAGACAGAAAGGATTTTCTGGATCTGTTGGACCACAAGGAGGAAATGGTCAGTTTTTAATAAAATTCTTATCAGTAATGATATTCTTATATATTCATTTCAATGATTATTGGATATATATTATGTATATTTCTCTTGTTTATGAAAATGCTCATAAAGTACTGAAAACTTCATTAAGAGTTTTTGAATTATTGACTTTGTTCCTTACACAATTTCCTTGAGCAAGTATTTGCCATGTTAGGTAAAACTTGTATGCACGATGCACGGTACATAAATGTATGCTTGCATGTATAAAGGCATCAATCATATCATTTAGTTAAGTAAAATCTCTTCATGTATGTTTGACCTTTGTGCATCCTCATACAAAATTGTTTATAAATCATTCATTTATTATTCTGCATTATTATATTATGTTACATTGAGAAAGATATTTGGCGATAGATTAATGAAAATATATTTTATTTACAGTGATAAGCACAATAATGGAAGGTGAAGAAAGTGATCCGTTCTCAATCATTCCAGCAGCGACATCCTCACCACAATCCTCATCAGTGTCGTCATCACCTCTTCACAACACATTTGCCACTGCCAGCACACATATCAGCAACTCTGTGCAACAGAATGCTGCACCCTATTCATCCAATCATCATGTACCCCTGCAACTTCATTCTAGCATCTTTTCACAACCAAGTATGATGGCCCAGCAAAATGTTATGAACCAGCCAACTATAATGGCTCAACCAAATGTAATGACTCAACCAACTTTAATAAACCATCCAACTATAATGAACCAACCAGCGATGATAAACCAACCGAATATGATGAACCAATCAAAAATGCTGACACAGCAACCTTTGAACCAACCAAACATGTTGGTGCAACAAAATGTGGTTCCTCAAGATGATGTTTTGTCTCAAAGTTTGTTTCACAAGAACATGATGAACAAAGATATTTCAACTTCACTACCACTCAACAACATCTTCCACCAAGCAGAGCCCATACAAGCTCCATCAACATCTACATTCTGTACATTGGCTTCGGTTCTCAGCCAACAGCAACAACTTCAATCAGCCAAGAAACTTCAGATGCAACTGCAGCAGAAACAAGAACTGGAACAACAGCAACAGGATCAACTCAATGGTTGGAATTCTTTTTTGTTCCTCATTGTGCAGTTCAAATGCAGAAGTGCCTACATATTCTCCTCACTAACTTAGTTACAATTAGACTTATTTACACAGAGGCTTCAAGTCATGCTACACCATGCACCAACAAAATTTTTAATTTTTTCCGCTTTTCATGTCTATCATTGATTCTCAATTATATTCAATTAACGTGTGTTTGTGTGTGTGTGGCATGTGTGTTTGTGTGTGTGTTTATTTTGTTAAGGCGCCAGTTACTCGCCGTCACCCTCTCCTGTTAGCTTAAACAGCTTCGCCACGTGGTGGAGGTCAGGAGTAGGACTTGATTGACCGGGGTGAGACACCCACTGCCAATGGGAGTATTTTCTAAAAGATGGGAATTCAATTCCCACCCCCGTTTCCAGCTTAGTCAATCCATTTGAAGCCAAAACCAGTCGTTCTGGGCAGGTAGTGCACGTTAGCCTTGGCTGACCATCTACCTAGGAGAGGGAAACTGAATTCTAATCTCCGCTGCCTTGCGGCCATTCATGAATGAGGCTATGGGAGTAAACCCAAACAGAAAATCGCTTCCGGCATTTATGCATTTCGGCTCTTTTGGGGGAGGATCTGAAATATTTGAATTAGACAACCTTAGAATCGGCGGAAGAACAAACTGGCTAGATAAAGGGCGATTCTGCTGCACAAATCCGGTCACAGCCTCGGTCAAGCTGCTGTGCCTGCCTTGATTAGTCTGCACATCGCAACTTGTTGTGCCTGCAGTCAAGGATCGCTGCGTAAGATGGAGCGGAGCATGCCGCACGAACATGCTTCGCTATAATTCACCCATTTGTGAAGGTTCTCGTCGACTGAGTGTTCTTCATGGGAGTTAAAAATGTTCCAAGCCCCTCGGCGACTGGGGGTGGCAACGTCCACAGGTAAAGGATATTATTGGGAGTGCACAGGCACAAACCTGCACAAGAGCGGCTTAGGTGTGACGGTCGTTCAGTGCTAAATCAAGAGCCAGAGCATTGATTGTATCTTGCCTAAGCGACGAAGCAACCCTATTTAGGGATAGCATTGCTTTCTCCGATTGTAAGAGGAGACTATAAAAGGTGTTTTAAACAAAGCTGGCTCTAACCCATTCTGTCAGTACACCGCGGCGGGTACTTGCGGTCAATACAATGATATAAAGAAAAGAACACAAAGCAGACATCTGCTGAAATTGGCGGGTGGAGTGTCTGCACATTTCTGGACAGCGGGGAGCATCATGAACACCGGTCTGTCATCATTGCACGCAAGCTAGCACGTTGCGACATTGATGTTGCTGCGTTAAGCGAAACAAGGTTTCCTGCATCAACTCAATTTGAAGAAAAGAGAGCGGGATACACTTTTTTTTGTCAAAATTATCCGGTTGATGAAACTCAGTTGGATTTGCCATTCGTAGCTCACTATTGAAAGCACTTTGTGAAACTCCGTGTGGTATATCTCCTTGCCTGATGAAGTTGCAGCTGGCCTTAGTAGATGGAAACGCAGCTACTTTTATCAACTGCTATGCTCCTAAACTGTGTTCCACGCAAGAGGAAAAGGACTCGTTTTACGAGCAGCTCAGTGACGTTGTCAACTCAATCTCTTCAAACACCAATTATTTGTCCTAGGTGATTTTAATGTCCGGGTTAGATGCGACCATAGGCTTTGACACAAAGTACTGGGAAACAACGGTGTTGGCGAAGAAAATGAAAATGGTTATATGCTGCTTGAATTCTTTACTGAGCACAATCATATCGTGACCAATACAGTCTTTCAACAAGCAAACAAAAAGAAAACCAGCTGGAAACATCCACCTTCGGGCCACTGGTATTTAATTAATACCATCAGCCCTACCCGCAAAGTTCGTATCACCAAAGCAATAGACACTAAAACTTTCTTGTTAAATCACAGGCTGATCAAAACAATGGTTCTTCTATCAGCGAAACCTGCCAAAAAATCCACAGAGTTGTTAGGACTAAAAAGCTGGATGTTGCCAAATTGGGTGACGACAAAATCAAGAAATCATTTCGTCGTTTTTTGGACACAGCACTGGCTAGTGATGATAATAATCAATGGCCTACTTTCAAACGGACCGTGCATGAAGTAGCGTCAAATGTCATTGGCTTTCGACAAAACGCCCACCAGGATTGGTTCAATGATCAAGACAAGGAGGCTTGTCGGCTAATAAACACCATGAGAGCGGCGCGCATTGCCTGCGCTATCGACAAGATCAACAGCGCAAAGAAAACATTCTATTTCAATGTTCCTAATCTACCACAAAAAAAGCTTCGACAATTGAAGGAATTTCGGTAGGCGGAAAAGGCGCAAGAACTTCAAACAGCTGCGATGGCGACGTCTTCAACCATCAGCCGCTTGCCGGCAAAAACAAAAATTTTGACGGCTACCGTTCGTGACCTTCTCTTTGCTGATGACTGGGCTCTGGTTGCACATTTGCCTCAGAAAATCCAGCCGCCGTTCAATTGTTTTCACGACATAGCTGAAAGATTTGGACTCACAATCAGCTTGAAAAAGACAGAGACCTTATGTCAATCGTATCTTGTGTCTCCAGAGGCAGCGGCCGACGTGATGGCAGATGGCGTTCTCATTAATTCTGTTGGTAGATTTTGCTACCTTGGTTGTTATCTGTTATTACTGACGACGACGTCACTGCAAAGTTAGCGGAGGGCATGGGATGCATTTGGAAACTGAACAGACGGCTGTGGAACGAATACATTATATCTCTGTGCACCAAGGTTGCTGTTTATAGAGCAGTCGTGTTATTTTCACTGTTGTATGGATGCGAAACTTAGACCACATATCGCCGCCACATGCGTAGGCTTGACCGGCTCCACATGAGATGCCTCCGTAAAACTGCACACATCAGATGGGAGGACAAGTGCCCAACACAGATGTTCTAAAAATATTTGGTGTTTCGGGCGTTGAAGCCTTTATACTCCGGGCCCAGTTTCGTTGGACTGGTCATGTCGTTCGCATGCCGGACTCAAGAATCCCCAGGCAGGTGTTCTTTCGACAGCTGGCCACAGGAGCCGTCTCGCAGGCGGCCTAGTTGTATGGATGCGAGCAAGCAAGCTCGCAAGCGGCAAGCGAGGAGGGGAAAAAAAATGCAAGTCCGTGGTCGATGGATTTGAAAGAACTCGAATCGCTGCATTTGATGATAAAAGAAAACGTCGTAAATGCAATTTCCAAAGCGGCGATAGCACAGGTCTGTCATTTTCACGGGGATGCCTGTTAAGAATTTGACTCTTTGCTCTAACCAATGACGCAATCCGTTGTTCCGACGGTGCAGTCCATATGTGTATTCTGTATATACATTTTTAACAATCAGGATTAAAATATATAACTCTCAACTAGTTCTCAAAAATTACTCCACCCCCAGACTAATAAATTAATCATTTCAACTTAATTCATTAGCAATATTCATATTATTCTCTCCCAAGTCAACTGCTGCTTCGTGATTCTAAGAATTTTATTTCTAAGACAACATCGTGGAAAAGTTAAGCTATTATCTGTTTTCAGTTAACCATTTTAATTGCAATTTTGTTATGTGAACATTCCTGATTCTTTTAACTATATACGTATAGCAAAATAAGCAAAGCGTACGAAAAAAGACATAGTTGGTGCCTCATGTATCAAAAATGACAAAAATGAGATGGTTCTTGAACAAGATGAGATCAAGCTACAGTGGAGAGAATACTTCAACCGTCTGTTAAACGAAACAAATTCCATCAATGTTAACTTTGACGCTCCACCCATCGAAGGTCCAATTCCAGACATCCCTATAGAGGAGCTTACAGAAGCTCTGAAAGCTATGAAGGATGGAAAGGCAGCAGGGCCCTCTGGACTCACAAATGACATTATCAAAGCATCTGGTACTGCAGGTATCTAAACGTTACTACAACTTTGCCGTGAAATCTGGAGAAATTGCTCAATGCCGACTGAATGGAACTATAGCATGACAGTCCCGCTATACAAAGGCGATCCATTGAACTGTTCATCATATCGGGGTATACGTCTGTTAGAACACTTCCTGAAAATTGTCGAGAAAATCATTGAGAGAAGATTAACGTCGTGCATCACAATTGGAATTTATCAATTTGGTTTCTTAGCGGGGAAATCAACAATTGATGCAATTCACATCCTTCGGCAACTGCAAGAGAAGTACCTCGCAAAGTATCAACAACTATCACACATTTTTGTAGACTTTGAAAAAGCATTTGATCGAGTTCCCCGTGAAGCAATCAGGTGGAATCTACGACGACAACTCATTCCAGAACATCTTGTTCGACTTGTGGTGGAAATGTATACGAATACTAAGACTCTTGTCAATACAACGGTTGGAAACACAGATGTTTTTGACATCGGCGTTGGAGTTCACTAAGGCTCGATTCTCAGTCCACTGTTATTTATAACTGTGATGGAAGAAATCACAAAACCGATACGCACTGGTGACATTTGGAATCTAGTATATGCTGATGATATCGTTTTAACAGCCACGTCTGAGCAGAATGCAGAACAGATGTTTGAAGATTGGAACACCAGACTCACCGATCATGGATTCAAAGTCAACATCAGCAAAACCAAAGCAATGAACACTGGTGAACCTATCCAATCCACAGCTACTGGATGATGGCCCTGTTCAGTTTGTAAAGCTGGTGTTGGTAACAATTCAATCAAGTGTCAGCAGTGTAACCAGTGGTGTCACAAACGTTGTTCAAAAATAATTGGTACTTTATCTAAAGTGTCCAATTTTGTTTGTCCTGCTTGCATCAATCCTCAACAACGAATTCGAAATAGCACTGTTTTTGAAGCCATTAAGATAGAGAAAGTCACATCGTTTCAATATCTAGGGGATGTTCTGGATTGTACTGGAACAGCTGAAGCTGCCGTTCGAGCACGCATACGCGCAGCCTGGAATAAATGGCATCTCCTTACGATCAAGACTTTATAAATCTGTGATACGTCCGGTGTTGTTATATGGTGCAGAAACATGGCCAATGACAACCAAACTGGAACAACAACTTCAACGAACCGACATGAAAATGCTCCGATGGATGCAACGAATTAGTCTGAAGGACCACATCAAATTTACCGAAATCTTGCGTCGTGCTGGTTTAGATGATATAAAGGACGAATGCCGGCAACACCGTCTGCGGTGGTTTGGTCATGTCAAACGAAGTGGAAACAGTGCCATAACTTCTCTTGCAGATGTTGAAGTACCTGGCACACGTCCCAAAGGCCGTCTAAAGAAGTCCTGGTCGCAAACAATCGAGCAAGACATGAAAGCTCTAAATTTAAATGAAATGGATACAACTGATCGTCTAATTTGACGCAAAAAGTTGATGGCAAAGAGAACAACGTCCTACCTCGGGAAACCGGGTCTCTGGACGCAAAACGAAGATTGATTGATTTCTTTTAACTATATAATTTTGTTTATTTATTTATAATTTCATGTATTATTTATTTATACGTCCTACCTCGGAGAACTGGGTCTCTGGACGCTAAATGAAGATTGATTGATTGATTTATGTTATATTATTTTTAAAACTTTGTTGGTTAATTTAATGTTATTCGTTGCAGCGCCGCAGCATTTGAAACAAATAGCAGCCGACCTGAACACTCTACTGAATCAGATCAAGCCAGCTGTTGAGACCAGCAAATCTAATAATATTTTTGGTTTATCAAACAATACATCACTGCCAATAACCCAGAGCAATCCATGGGCAACAAATGGCACAAAGAAACCAAGCAATCAGCTTTCAGAGGCAGAGCAGTGGTTGAATTCAACAGCCAGTCATATTGATCCGTTCGCTGCAGCTCCTAATGTTTTAGGATTGAAGAATCAACAACTTCAACAACAACAGCAACAGCTTTTGATGAACCAACCTCAGCAGTTGCTGGCTCAGAACTTGGCACAACAGCAGTTACTTCAACAGCAACGACAATTATTAGCATCGTTGTCTAACAGTACTTCACTTGAACAACCAGTGGTTATTACATTTCATTTCATTTATTGGCATAAAATTTTGTTTTCTAAATATTTTGTTGCGCCATCTCGATCATGGTGTTGTAGCACAACTAGAATGATCCTCTGATGTTGATGCAGTAATCCTATGTCACTCACATACTATCATACATTCATCATCAACTGTGTTTGGAGGCTCACAGCTCACAATTTAATTGTAATTTTTCAAAGTCGATTTCTGGCAAGTTTGTGTGAACTTGTTTGCACGTTTGCATTGCAGATATACCTCACTTATCATTCATGCGTCTTTATCTTATCTTTATCGTCTATATCTCATAAAAATATTGAAGAAGTCCCGTGATGATTCTGCAACAACAACAGCATCATTCCTAATATATCTTACTCTTCTCAATTTTTTAATCTTTCCATGTTTATATATTAATTAATCATTATTTTTTTAATCCAACCATTAGAGAACCTTATTATGTGAGCAGTTCCACATCACAACATTCTCTCTTCTCTACAGCCCCCTCTATATTTTTATCTCTCTTGCTTTCAACATCCGGAGCTTTTCAACCCATTTTTTCTCTACTCTCTAAAGTTAATAAATGCACTTTATCTACCAATGTGCTTCATAATATAGCTGTAAACATGATAGGCATAAATTTTTAACATTTTTTTATTATTCATGCAGACTGGATTTCAAACAACATCACTCAGTACAACAGGCAGTGATATCCCACTGCAGCAACCTTCAAAATCATTCCAAAACCATCAACCGAACCAACAATCGCTGTCAACTCAATTACAATTGCTTCAATTGCAGCAGACTTTACAACAACAAAAGATGCAGCAGCAACAACAACCACAACTTAAGCAGACTCTGCAACAGTTACAGCAAACATTGCAAAAACAATTGCAACAATCACCCACAAAATTATTGCAGCAGTCAAAACAGCAAAAACCTTTTCAGCAACCTCTAAATAATTTGACTCTTCAGCAGCAACTCCAACAACAACAGCTAGTACAAATTCAACAGCAGCTACAACAGCAAATTCAACTGCAGGAATTGAAACAGTTGGAGTTACAGTTGCAGTTGCAACAGCAACAGAAATGTAAACTTGGAGGTCTGAATCAAAGTAACAACCACAACTCAGAGGAGGACGACCAATCCAGCGACGACATCGTGCTACAAATTCAACAAAATCAAACCAGTTTGGAGATGAATAGAAAGCAGTTGCTGAGCAACCTGCAACAGCAACTACTTTTAAGTAATGGCTCTTCGTAACTAATTCTATTTCATTAAAAAAAACCATTTGTTAAGGATTTTTTGAAATAATTGTTCAGAAAATATTATTTGTATAGGATGATTCAACTTTCAGTAGGTGCATATGTTGTAAATGTCAAATTTGGAATCCTGACTTGGATGAGCACCCGATACAACCACTGTAGTATATCTATCTCTCTTCCTCTTTTTCTCTCGGTTGTCAGATTCCATTTTTATGAAAACTTTACAAAAGTTTCTATTACCTCTTTCAAAAAATTTTTCATTTCTCTGAAATTAATTGTCAGTCGGATTTATTAGCAATATTTTATCTTTTCTTATTTATGAAATATGTTTTGCTAATTGAAGCAATTCTTAAAATTTAATTTATTACTTTAAAAAATACATGAATGAAAAAAAATAGCAATTAAATTGAAATCACGATATAAATATAAACTATAAAATGCACTACACAATTCAGATGTTGTGCTCCATAATTTTTTTAATGTTTTTATATTTATTCCCTGAGTTTTTATTTATCTGACGTTTCAAAAGTGGTTAAGTTGTTTATGTTCTTGCTCTTAACGGTTTGTCCTAACGTGTGCTAAAACATTCAAGTTAGAACAGAAGAATGCTTTCTAATATCCCAACTTATAGTGTATTTATTGATGAATTAATTCTCATTCTATACCAATAAGCGTGTGTTTAAGTTATATACATACCTACATATATATTATATAATTTAATTTAAATGGTTTTTAATATTTTAATTCGATGTCGATTTGAATGTTTGTCACGTGTTGAAAGCGTAACTTCTCAGATGTTCCATGCTAGAAAATTATTTTTCTGCTATTAATAATAACATACTTATTTAATTGTCAAAAAATGATTTAAATGTAAATAAAATAAATTCGTTTCGATTATCTAACTAATGTGTCATTGTAAATTAAATGTGAGTTAGTAGATAAAGTGGAGTTTTAATATTACGCTTTTTATGTATATTTAACTATTTTAATGATGCGTTATGGTTTTATCATTGTTTCACTGGATACATACATATATTATTTAACTATTATACTATATATATAATATATATATATTTATATATATTTATATAAGCTGTGTTTAAAGGTTTCCTAATCCTGCATGACCACTCACTGAGTTTGCCCCCCCAGTACGTAATCCAAACACTAATGTTTTGTAACATCAACCTATCATCATTTGCCAGTAGTCTCTTACCAACACAATGGGTTTGACATCTTTTAGTTTCCAGCAAACATTTTCAATCACCTGTTATGATTCACCGTGCGTTTTATCTATTTCCAGTCTCTGCGCTTTTTCATAAATCAAACATTACAATATATGAAAAACTAATTTCCTAACACAGAGAAATTGTAATTTCTAATTGATGAATATGCTAGATAGCAAATATTTTACATTCCACGATTACAATTTATTTATTTAACCTGTAAATTACGATAATTTGTATTTTGTTTCCTAAATACTTGTGTTCTTCATATCATAGATTATATCATTTTGTCGCTTGGATTTTTAATCTTTTCCTACTATTTCAACATGTTAGTGGTTTTAAGAAATTTATCTGAGTTAATATTGTTTTATTATATCATTACCAATATGAGTTCTTATTGATTTTTTGTATTTGTAAATTTAAGATGCATTGACTATCAAACTTTTTTACTGCTTTGTTAAATTTATATTTCGGTTTGGCGTGTCAAAACATTTAAAAGTTTGCTGGCTCTCTTCAGTATCTTGTTTAAATTAAAAGAAATTAATTTATTTTTTATTCATTTTTTTGAAATAATTGCATTTCAAAGCAACCAAAAAGTTTAGGAGATCGAGCCGTTGACGAGCATATGCATATAACACCGAACTGGTCCATATACTAATACTTTTTAAAGATCAGAATGTTATTATTTCTCTCCTGTTCACTAAAATTATAATTTGAAATACGATCTTCAATGCATTTTGCTTGTACGGAGGAGTCCATCTTTATAAACTTGATTTATTCAAAAGTCATGCCCATTTTGATAGAAGCCTACCTGTGCTGTCCTAGCTGAAGTCGATAAGATGGAAACATCCGAGAACGAATTTTTCATGCTTATTTTTTACGAATAAAAATGATGCACCAAATTTTAGGATAACTGTTCTTACTTAATCTAACTTCGTACTTTTATAGATTACTTGAGCTCACACTTGGCTCAACATCTTTACATAAGTCTTTTCTTCGCAGTCATAAGCCGTTATGGTTCAAATTCCCTTTTAATTCTCAAAAGCAACATCTTTTCCGGGACTAATATAATAAAATACACATTTTTCTCGAGTTCAGGATCAGTTGTAATCGATTATTCAATTTAAATATTTTTCGGCATTTTTTTATAATTCTACTATTTTCTGTATTGGTTTAAATTGCGATAATTGTTGAATAATACCATAATGTGTTTGATAAAGTTCACTTATATTGCAAATTAACTAGGTCGGAACTTTCATGCACATCGCTCCGGAGATTTATTTTTATGAATTCATTTCATCAGGTGTAGTTAGGATGAAACTGGCATTCTTGCTGTAGTTCTACTGCCGAATCTTAGACTTTTTGTAAAAATGATTATTCTAATTCATTATCATTTATTGCCGTCATTAGCTATTGTAATGCAATAAAAATTATGGACAAACAATTGTTTTGCGATTTTATAAATTGATTTTTAAGCTCAGACGATGAAAAGGTTTTTTTACAAATTTTCAATTCTCACAAATATTAAACATGATTTCGGACATAAATGCATGGTATCATGGAACAGACGGCAAAATTGCTAAATTCGAATTTCCTTTAAATTAAAAGTCCAATCAATCAATCAGTGAAATAAATGCATTGCCGCTTTCACATTTGCCAACAGCCATATCAATACTGTACAACAAACAATGTGCCATCGTTAGCGATTTATTCCAAAATGAGCAAAATACAGGCCGCACAAGCTTACACGTAATTCGGTTTTCCTTTAAAAAATTGAATTTTTTTATATTTAACTCGAAGAAATTTAAAAACAGGACTTAAGAAGTGTCTGCACAAACAATATTGGAGTTCTTTCAGTTTATTGCTGTTTTTGAGATTTAAAAAAATCTTCGCCGCCAAATCGTTCTCGGTCTTTGGGTTCACAATTTTTTTTGAGAACAAATATTTCCTTGCTTGAATATAAATAGAGTGTAAGATTAAAAATATATTTAAAGCCAACCAGAGAATATTCGAAATGTCCAGTGACCAACGATACAACAATGATTACGATCAAACTGAATTTTATTGACATGCAATGCAGGTTACTATTAAAATTATGACTTTTTCTCAAGATGTTAATAAATATTAATTAGTCTGATATAAATGCATTTTGCACATGTTTCAATCCAACTAAAAATTAATAACCTCAAAAATGTGCGTGTTCAAAGTTGGAACATCAAATTTATACCAATAAGCACTGTTTATTTACATTTGAAAAAAATGAAATATGAAAATTTACAATGAAGGAAAATTAGTTTAGTGTATTCATTTACCAGTGGTCCGTGAAGTCGATTATTAGATTTTAATTATAATATTACATCAGCAGGATTCGGAATGATTGTTCAAAATATTTATGTATAGTACAACAAAGAGAAATGGACGAACACTTGATCGGGAGTTTTCAAGAGAAAGCACAAAAATGCCCAGTTAAAAATGTGGTAGCATCTGCGGCTTATCCTTACCTGATCACAAAAATATAATCATTCTTATAAATCTACAAGTTAATAGACGCAATCAGACCATTTTTCAAAAATATTGAGTTATAAGCAGATTATTAATTATTATGCGAAGATATTTAAGGCTCGCAACTGAATGGTGCAAATGACGTAACTCATTATCGATGGAGACATTCGTCTACCTGAGATTGAAAAAATTATCCCTAATTGCTTCACATAAGATTCCGTAAAATTAAACTTTAAATAGAGAAACGGTAACATCGTTCAAATCTGGCTTGTGTTGAAATGCATAAACTAAAATTAAAGTTAATATGGGAATGAATGAACAAAATCAACAGAAATTACACAAAAATGTCGTACATGAATGTGTCGTCAACAAAAAACCATCTTAACAGTTTCAGTGATGTTGTATATAAGCATCATGTTTTATAGGAATCACCGTTGAATGGTAATGTTTATGCCTCAAAATAATAATAAAATGTAAAAAATTCATGTAATTAAATAAAACTTAAGTTTGCCAAAACGATATATACTTTGCAGAGCTGATTTTTAATATTATTTTAAATTAACGCGAGTGATGTGCAAACAGCATCGTAATGAAACCATCTCAAACTACAATGCTTAAATCTGCAAGACGAGTCCAGAAGATGATATGTTGTCACCCCCTCCAACAGTCTGAACGACTTTAGTGCAAACAATCACAGGAGCTAAGCAAACTTTAAAGTCCGTATCATCTTCGTACCAACACGTCACTGGCTCCGATGAATCAACCTGCAACCTTGGACCACTCTCTCTTCTCGTCAGTGAGAAGGAATCATCCATCAAGATTTTTGATGCTTCCAAATTTATCTGTCACAAAAAAAGTGGCTAATAAATAAAATTTTATTGCCTTTACTATTTACTACTTCTTTAAATCAAATAGTGCAATAGCATAATTTATTTAATGAATGAAATCCTTAGCTTGGTAGGCAGAAGTGGTGTAACCAGACAATGAAGGCAAGATAACACTGAGTTAACAGCAAATAGAAAATGTAATGCAGATATCCGCAAGAATATGTGTGAGGGACAAACTCAGCTAAAAAAAAACTAATTTTGTCATTAATGTAGCTAAAGAAGTGTAACAGAGTTGAAATGAAATTATCTATTCTTATGTAACTAGCTTGAAACTACTGCAATAAAATTCAGACCTCTTTAATAGATAGATTACGCATAAAATAGCAAGCATATTGCTATCGTAGTTTGATTATCTCCACATAACATTCAATTAACGGTTCTACGTTCACTTCAAATGTGTTCAAATTCAGTAATTTCAAAGTGCATACTTTTTTAAGGTTGAAGAATTAAGTTTAAAAAACTTAATTTGAATGAATTTTCTAAACGGTGCACGCATATTGACATTTTCTAATTTATTTAATAACAATTATGCTGACATAAGGTTTAAATTTCTTATGAGAAATCACTAAAAATTGACTGCAAACGAACAAATTGTAGAAAAAAAATTATCTTTTATAACCAATTAGGTAAAACTAATTTAAAATTGGAATCATAAACTATTTTATTAGAATATAACCGACAAAATCAATTTTACTCTCTGACAATCATTTGTATATAGTATTTTTTGTAAGAATATAAAAAATTAATTTTTGAATATTCACATATTTCTTCATTCATTTATAGCAAAATTTAAATTACATTAATTTTAAACAAAAATCAACGAAGATTTCTATAATGAAATTACGCCTAAAGTTTAGTATTAGAATGACGAAAATAATCGAAAGAGTTGTTGTTACCTGATGTGAGCCACAGGTGTGTCTGTTGGCTGTGAGAGCCGCCCTGGCCGCAGCCTGCATGCTGTTCTTCCACGGCGAGCTGTTCTCTGTCATGATGACTTGAAATGCCAGTGTGTGCACGTGGAGACGAGTTATTTTGTGTTTTCGTAACGGCTGTTTTTTGTATCCGTCATCAACGTCATTAGAATTACTTTCTTCTGCTTTTTCAATGTCATCTTTATTGCTGTCATCTAGTTTCTCGTGCTTCAAAATCTTTTCGTCGATTTCAAAGGCCCTTGTCTTGAGTAGCTTGAAAAGAAGTCTCATCTGATCGAGAGTGGTGGCAATGCGAGGACTCGGATCAGATGAGGGAGTGAGCATATCATCTTCTAATAAACCTACCTCAATCCAATAACAATGATGATAAACGCTTAAAAAACGTTCAGTGATAAACAACTTTGAATTTCTACAAAATGTTTAAAAAGTAAATTAGAAGAAAAAGCCAAAGTACCTAACAAATTCGGCAGCTCTTGCTCATTCATGCCAAAAGAATCACAGTGATAAGCAACAGTATCCAAGATATCCTTGAGACAGTCAGCATCTGTAAAATGAGCCATTTCAAAGTGGATGTGTGTGTCAGCATCGAGTTCGCCCAGCAATTTCGCAAGTTCATTCAATCTTGCTCGTCTTTCACCTTTGGATTGCATACAGATGCATTTATTTTTCTTGATAAGAAATTTGAAAAATCCAAGTTTGGATATAATTTATTAAAACAAATTATTAAGATAATTATTGAGAATTTTTTTAGAACCACAAACAAAATAAACTCTGTTTCACATAAAAATTATTCAAACTTAGAGAATACCATTTCATCACAGCAAAAAATGTTTATGTGTCATCATCACAGTGTCTGATCAATCATATCAAATAAATTAGGTGCAGTGAATAACAAAAAATGAGAACCAGTTTTAAAGGGGAAGTTGTCAAGCATTTGCAAGCCGCCAACAACAACCAAATGTGGCTTAAACGTCTTCAGACTCACTGAAAACTCTTCCAGTGACTTCAGCATAGGATTGTTGTGGTCATTATGTATGATGAATCTGCAATCAGTTAGGCAATAAATAAAATGTTATTAATATAGATGGCTATGAGTACAAAAGCAAGGTTACATCCTGAGAAGTGGATAGATAAGAATGTCAGAAAAAAATTAAATGTCATTTGAGTGACAATGTGGAATAAAGAGAATTTATTAAAAATAAGAAAAGAAGTTTGTTTGTGAAAGAAATATTTCGAAAAGCTTTTAATTTCAGTGATTATTTGTAGGATAATAAAGGATTTTCATAAACTTGCGCCTCACATTAAAAATGTTTGGCAGATTTTAATTTGAATGCATGTTACTGAAAGGCAGGTTAATATTAGAGTCTGTCTTCTAATGTATTCACGTATGGATATTAATGAAATAAGAGTAACAAAAGGATAGAATAACATGGAAGAGTTAAACACATAAAAAATATAGAAATATTGTGACCCGCGTGACAGGACTATTGATAATGTCATTTCAAACAGTTACTCAATCTGAAAGATTCAATTTCCAAAGCTTTGTAATGACGGCCAATGTAAGTACAACTTTATGAATGATTACAACACAACAGATGATACTACAGGTCTGTGCTGTGCATATTTGTACAATGACTTGAACCAGGATTTACGAGGTTCACAAAATCTCAACCAATAACATAGCATCATGATAGGCCTGATTAGTTTGTAACTAATAAAAAAAATCTCTTTTTATTTGTCACTCAAAAACAATGCATTCTTCTTGCCTTGAATATAAATAGAAAAAGTAAAAGAGCATTAAATGAAACTCATACCAAAATTTTCAAAAAATAAACTAGCTATGCTAAGCTAGCTGGAAGTTGAATAAACTCACTGATTTTTTCTTTAAATTACACCAGATAATAAAAACAATGACATGATCATTGCAATAATGATAATGATGATAACATCACCTGTTAGCCCTTGGTGATTCAAAGTTTCCCCATGTTTCTCCTTTGCCGTATTCTAAAATTAGATGGATGTCATCACGTTCCACATTACTTCCAGCAACTGGCAGAATTAATAATTCAGTAAGTACAATTCTACAAAATTGACAAGAAAACAAAAAAGAAACGAAATGGTTGGAATTGAAATAGAGAAGACCCAAGAAACAAACATTCAAAACAATGATAGTGTAATATTTGATAGCTACAGATATTTGAAAAAATTATCTAAGAAATGACACCCAGTAATAAATAATATTAACAATGTAGCGAAGTTTAATGTTTTTCAGACAATTTGATGGGTATAAATAAAGAGTTTAATAGTTCAAAATGAACAAGAGTGAGATATAAACATTTCTAAAATAATGGAAACAAATAGAAGAAATAAATATTTTACTAAGTCAAATTTCTAAATAATAGTAAAGATCAGCTTTTCAACTGATTGATAAAACAAGCAAAACAAAAAAAGCAGAAAGGTAAAAACAAACCCAGTATATCATCGCCAATCATTTTCCGTAATTTTTCAGTCATCTGAGCACCTAAGAGCACTTGAAAGCCCAACTTCTTGAAATTATTCAGCATAACTGGAGCATTGCCGCCAACAACCTGCCTTGCTGATTTTGTTTCCAAGGCAGCGTCGACTAATGATTTGAAAAACTTGTCATCTGTCACATAATGCCTGCATAATGCAACCATAATTTAAAATTATAATTATTATATTTATATTACTTATTTATTATTATTAACTATTATTTATAAATTCATAATAAAGAAACAAAGAAGAATATTTTAAAGAATTAAAATTATGTTAGCATTTTTGTGAAAGAAGTTAGGTTTAGGTAATGAGCAAGTGCTTTTGGCATGCTCATATAATTATATAGGATCATATAATTATATAATTATATAATGAATATAATTATTATTGGGATAAATGAATTGAATGGAGTTTTATACTGGCTAACTTAACAAGTAGTAATTGAAAAAAAAGCAAAATGATATAAATGGATAAGTAGAAAGATGGATCTTGCATTGAATGTGCAAAAGGGATTAATACAAAATTCAGATTTTAAAAATCTTTCAAGTTATGGTGGTAGTTCGTTTGAAACTGGGAAAAAGTTATAGAATAGTTAATTAATATCGTACAAAATAACTCTGATGTAAAGCATCAATCATTCAGAATAAATATAAATCTAAGCATTATGAATGAATGAAATGCAACAATACTTGCAGACATGTTTATTGATTAAATATTATTAAATTAAATTAAAAAGTTAAGTGGATAAGCCAAAATGGATATAAATCACTGCAATTACAGCACTAAAATGCACTCACATCTTAGATCAAAACACAAATGAATACCAAATGGGTTTAATTTAATATTAGCATATACAAATTATTGTCAATTTTTTCTTGTTATTTTAATGTAAAAAAAAGTTTTTATATAATACATCAAACAACATATTTTGCACATTTATGATCTACCAACTGTTTTCTTACAGATAGCATTAAAAAAGATATTCATCATTTGATTTTAATACTTTCAAATCATTCCCATGATCTTTGCTTAAAAACAATGTTAACCAAATATTTTTTCCTTTTTTGATTTAAAGATTTAAAAAAATCATTTCTTTTAAAATTTGAAAACTTTTACTTAAAAGTAGCTTTAAACACATAACATTACATTATAAATATGCAAACATGTAATGATTACATGTTTGTATATTTGTCTATTATATTTATATGTTCATTCATCCTATCCTATAAGCAAACACGCAGACACACATGCACACACGCACACACAAACAAACAAACATACACACCCACACACACACACACAAACACACACAAACAAACAAACACAAGCTGCCTTGAGTCCTAATTTACATTATAAAAAACCAAAATAAAAACAAAATTAAATAAACCAGAATGAAAAAAGTTTGGTAACACAACAATGTATTATAATAAATAATATAGCATAAAAAATAGCATACTCAGCAGCAGCTCCATGACTGAAAAAGTAGGCAAAGGCATCTGTAAATTGTTGCAGGTCATGAATGGCGTGATGGTGTTGAGAAACTTTAGGCGCCGTTACATTCAAAAGCCTTAAAACTTCTAAAGCAGGTACGATGACATCTATACAACTGCCAAATCCTACGGCCACTTTTAACCCGTCAGCAACTCTAGCCGAATTTTCGGCAACCAACAGGCCTTCTAAAATATTTTGCAAATATGTTTCGTTAGAATCGTAGTTACGTTTGATGTACGCTAAAGTTAAAATAACACCAGCTATAATAATAGACAAATTAAAAGTCTGTGACGCCATTTTTAATGTTCCCAAGATATTTTATACGATAAACAAAATAAAAATGATTTTAATAATCAAATCGTCACCGTGGTGCCGTATTGATTTAAAAAATAGTTTAAAAGTAAAATATTTTCTACAATTAAGTCATGGGTATAATGGATATGGCATAATAATTGTTACCTGCCTAATAACTTTTCTTTGTTCTATGGAATTAAACGCGTAAACATTAAACATTTTTTCGTAGTAATTGACATTTTATTGATTTTTACAATAATATATATATATATATATATATATATATATATTTATATCTATAAATTAAGTAATCGTTATGCGCAGAACAATATAAATATTTTGAATATATGATTGACACTATGGATGTAGCATTTTAATGATATAAGACGTAATTTTTTTATCACATTTTTTCAAAGTTATTTTTGTCTTTTAAAAACATGTAATATACTATTAAAATTTCAAAAAAATTGTTCAACCAAAACAAACCTCTTATGTAATATTATCAATTAGTTAATCAATTAGTTTACAAAGCGCTATTTCTGCGATGTTCAAAGAGCTCCTCAATGAATTTTGCAAGCAGATGGGTTTTGAAATCTGTTCTAAACTTTGTAAATAATCCATAAATAATTAGAGAAGGAAATAGTAAGTTCCAGAAAAAAGAAAAAAGAAGACGATCGTAAACGGGGACGTTTAGACACAATTAAAATTTTTGAAAATACTAAGAAAATAATTTAAATTGAAACATACATTGAAGTGCAAAGTTTAAAAATTAAATTATATTTTGTAGGTAGTCAGTGCAAGACAACAAAATATGGAAATATAAGAGAAAAAAGGGGCACGAGCAACTAGACGAGCATCAGAGTTAAAAGTTTTAATTATATGATAGAGTGTAAAATCAAGAAGACCCTAGTAGAGCAAGTTACAATAATCAATCCTAGATAAAATAAAAGGTAACAAGAATGAGAGAAGTAGGATCGTCAAAAAAGGCAAAAGTTTTTTATTCTACGTAGATAAAAGTAAAAACTTTTGGCAACATTATTAAATTGAAAAGAATGAGACAGGCTAAATTAAAAAATAAGGTTTAGGCTACAAAACTTGTGAGAAACATCAAAAGTTTTAAAATTAGGCAAGATAATAGAAGAAATAACAATAGAACGTTTAGATTTATTAAAACAAATTAATTCAAGTTTAGAAAGATTGAGTTTAAAACACATAAAGTCAGAACAAGCGATATTTTTTTTGTAATAATTCTTTTCTTAAACATCCCAGACAACTTTATATCTAAATTTAATACAAAATTAGAATGAAATATTGTACGGGATAAAATAGAACAATACACCGGGGTATGACGCAACACCCGAACACTAGTCAAAGATGAAGTCACTACAAAAAAATGAAACTGAGCAGTGAGCATATTTATTTAAAACAATTAATTTTAAAAAAAATAATAAAACTTTTAATATATGCAACTGAATAATGGATCACAAGCCAAACTGTGAAAAATAAAACAAAATCTTGTCAAATTTTTTTAATTTATAAAAAATTCTAATAAAAAAGTTTTGACAACCAGTTAGTTATGACATACGACAAATAGTAACACCACATAAGAAATATAATAAAATAATTAAAATTGATGAGAATTGGTTTAGATAATAACATCTTTAATTTATATATATAACACCTATATGATCTTTCAACTTTAAATTACTCGCATAATAATACTTAGAAACTTTATATTTTCCACTCTATTTATAGTACAATTAATATAAATTATTGAACAAAATTTTGAAATAGTTACAATTATAGGATCAAAAAAATAGTATAAGTTTTTGATATATTAATTTTTAAATAATTGCAAAACATCCATCTAGACAAATTGTAAAAGTTTAGTTATTACGCGAATTTCGTCTTCTTGCACTAAGCAGCCGCTTGCTAATATCGTTGTATCGTCCGCATACATAACAAATATAAAGAAATATAAGGAAAAAGCTAACATTTGCTAAATCATTAATGAATATGTTGAGGAATACTGGACCGAGTGTGGATCCTTGTGGCATACCGTCGTCTATTGGTAACAAATTAGATTTAACATTTTTGTTGATTACATATAAAGGACGATTATATGTATAGGTTCAACACCAATTCTACTCTAGATCACAAATTCCATAATGTTGAATCTTTTTAACAACAGGTCATGATTGATGGAATCGAATACTTTAGAAATATCTATGAAACATTGTAGATAACTTTAAATAAAACATTTTCAAAGCATATTGCATCACGTCTAAGACCACTAACTTTGTAGAGTAGGTAATCTTTTTAAAATCCATACTGACATGCAAAAAAAGGCCACACTCATCAAAAAACTTTGATATTTTTGAATGCAAAATTTTTTCCATAACTTTAGAATATTTTGATACTAAGGATATTGGCCGATAATTTGAAACCTGAAAAGTCGGACCACTTTTATGAACTGGAAAAACTTTTGTTATTTTAAGGCATTTAGAAAATATTTCAGCAGTAAATATTAAATTGATGCATAGCGTCAATAACTCTAAAATGCTGACAATAATTATTATGAGAGTAAAATTTGATATATTGTCATTTCCAGCAGATAAGGTATTTCTGAAATTATTGATTACTCCTTTGAAAGTACGTCTTCAATAAAAAACGATTTATTATTTGGAAATGGCATAGTTTGAAGATTTGATGTATTTGCTATTGAGTCATCATGGTCGTTTAGAATTAGTTGAAAAAGCGGTTATGCACAAAACCGAGCAATTACAAAACACAATCCACCAAGCCGTCAAACTATCAAGTCAATCGCTAAAGATGGCGGCAACCTTGGGCCACAATATTTTTAGTCGCCTGCATTATTCACTAACCTAAAAATATCAACAAACATGGCAGGCAACAAAATCTGTGAATCAATTTTTGCATAGAACAAAAACGTTATGAGCACCACTTCTGTACAGCTTTTTTTTCCTTGCTTGCATCTTTTTTATGTGGATGTGTTGCTCAGCGTGACTAAATGACACAAAAATTAAACAAATGCATAAAATAAATCAATTAAAAACAATCAAAATTAAATTTTTAAAAAATGAATAAATATTTATTCATAAACTATAAAAAAGTTGAAATTTCAAAATTTGATTGGCTTCTTCAGGTATTCCATGTTTATGATCAATAATAGTCGCTACTTAATCAGCATATCAGAAAAAGATCTTTATCATAAGACACCTTAAACATATTAGCACCAAATAAAATTTTACTATTTACACAATCTAGCTTTATTTTTACTTATCGATCATCTCACTAACTTAATAAGTTATTATTTGGTCCATTAACAAATTACTTTATTTATTTGCCTATTTATTTTATTACTTTGTTTTATTTTTAATACTTTTTATGTTTAAACATTTTTTTCTCCGTTTTTATTTATTTATGCATTTTTTTGTTACCATTTTATACCTTCATGATGTAACAGTTTCTGCGTCTGTCAGATCTTGATTGTTAATAATAATAATAAAAAAAATACTAAACTATATATATCAAATATATTTGTATTTTATATTACATACGTTGGAGCTTTGTCTGCCTTTCTTATTACAACATTGTAATAAGAATAAAGTATATTCAATTTTTATGTGCTAAACAAATTTTTCTTTTTCCATATTTTTTTTCGTTTTTCAAAGTTCTTTGATTTTAGACTTTTTGTTGCTGAAAACATCCATCTGACTTACTGCTTAGGGTCCTAAAAATTAATTCTGCACGTGTTGATTTGTTTATTGGATACATCGATCGTAAGAAAATAATGCCTCGAAAAGTTGTTAAAAAAAAGACGACCTGCATTAAAGTTAAAAAAGGAAAAAAAAAGAATGGCTCAAAAAATATTAGTTAGTTGTTTATAAATTATAAAATCAAAATGAAATATTATGTTTAATGTTTTGTAATATTTATATTTTATTTATTTTATATTAATTATTTAATAATGTAATTTTAAAGTGAGACAGTAAATTAGGTAAGGGTAGTTAAGTGAATAGTAAAGTAGCTTTATGTTGTGATTGGGAAGTTTAAACTTAAGTTTATAAAGATTAAAGAATTACATGCCTCATCATCATCATCATGGATGTGATTTGTTATTGTTGTTGTTGTTGTTGATGTGGCTTGACCAATTCAGCAGGGCCCATCGTTGTTGATACACTCTACTCAACTGGTTGGTTGAACTTTATATGAAGTTGAAACTACCTCAACTGAGTTTTCTTCATGTTGATGTGATTTAACCAGCGACGATGACAGTTGACAGGGTTAAAATAGAGTGGTGAAGTAGTAGTAGTAGCAGTTTTTATTTTATTTTGTGGAAACTACCATGAGTGAATTTCCACACCAACTGGCTAATTTTCAGGATTTTTAAAAACAACCTGCTAACGTTTTAAAATGGTTATGAGAAATTTTATTGAAGGGTCGCTGATTGATTGCTGAGAACGGGCTGGGGAAGATTTTAAGGCTGATATGCTTTCTACAGCGGTTAGTTCAATAGCTTTCAGAAGTTCCTCTTCGATGCAGCTCTTCACTTTACCTACCGAAAAGACTCTTCACTTTACCTACCGAAAAGACGATTTTTGTGGGTAGTAGAGCAGCTGCTGATAACATGAAAGATCCCGGATCCTTCCCTTTTTTGATGTAATAGTACCCCATGAGCCTTCTTGGCTACTAGAATAAGAATTATTGAAGAGCCTCTTTATTGAAAATAGATGATTGAGTGAGTACTCTGGTGGTAGCATTGATACCAGATGGCCAATCTTATGCGATGAAGCATCCAAGTGCATGCATTCTATCCAAGTGGTCATAAAACATTATAGGTAAATTAATATCAGTCTTGACAAGATTGAAGTGATTTTTGATTAATTTGAAGGCAGCCAAGATTTCGTCAAAACTGTAAAAGTCGAATGTAATGTTGATAACTTGTAGTTATTGGTTAAAAAGTATAAAACTTCTTTAATCGCTAACTGTTGTTTATTCTATGTATTTCTGGAAATGAAAATTAACTTTTGAAACTGTCCTTGTAGTCCAATCAGAATAGAATAACAGTACAACAAATGTTAATAACAGATTTGAAATCAGTGGTCGATAAACATTGTTTAAATGATAACATAGTGAACAAGTAAGTCATTTAATGCATCTCTCAGTGGTATCTTCAGCTGCACCTATTTTAAATTTAGCGATTAAAATTAACATTTTTAAAATATAATAATAATTTGCATCTTTGCATCTGATATCAGTTTTTTAGTTATATTGCTTTTTAGATATTGATAAGTTTTTATTTTTTAAGGTTTGCTTGTTTGTTTATGCTAACATATATTTTTATAATTTAATTTAAAAATTTATTTAAAAATAATAAATATAACGGAAATAACGTAGTCAAATTTTGCTTAACTATCAGAAAGTTTTTCGTCAAAAACCGAGGAACATGGTGATCAAGCCACGTTTAAATCATATGAGGCGATTGTTAATCAAATTTCATCTCTTTTGCCGGGCTTCTGTCCTCAGACAACCGATCTGGTTGAGGTAAAGGATGCGTGTTATTAATTTTTGTACATGCCATTTGGTGGTTGATTCATGTATGTTAATTTGGCACAAGTCATCGAATGAGGCATGTGTGTTTTTTTTGCTACAGGTTGATTAATAAGTGATGCATACAAATGATCAAAAGGAAAAATGGAAAAAATGACAATATTTTCTTATTTACTAAATTTTCTAATAGCTGTTTTAATAGTAATATTTATGGTCATAATTGTTTTTTCAAATGTTTTTAGAAAATCTTTTATTAGAATTTTTATCAAGATTTTTAACAAATATTTTATAGTTCATATAATTATGTAGATTGTTTATAATAAAAAATATTAAATTTGTATTAGTTTGATTTAATTTAGTTAAATTTATTTATTATTTTCAGTCGTTTCCTAAAGTAGCACAAATTCTAGGCAAAATAATTTCAACGGATGATAATCTTCGTCTTGATGTTTTGTCGTCAATTAGGAAACTTGTACTGCATAACACTGAAAACGGTTAGTGCATCACTTTAATTTTTCAAGGGCTTTGAATTATTTTCAATAAAAAATTATCCTCTTTCCATGTTTTTTAATTTTTGCCAGTTTTCATTCTTTTAATGCTTTTATTTCACATATTGTACACATTCCAATGCTCCTTTTTTGTCACATCCTATCGTCCTCATATTTTTTTTTGACAAATTACTTGGTCATTAGTTTTTTGCAAATTTAAAAAATAAAATTATGTTAATAAATATTTTAAAAATTAGAGAAAAATCTTGAAAGATTAAACATTTTTCGACCTTAGTTATCCATTTTAAACCATAATTTAATAAATAATTTGTATAAGGGTATTGATTGTTATCATAACAGAGAAGGAGCGAACAGTGTTAAGCCACTATTCAAAGAACTTCATCCCATTGTTCTGCAATCTGTACACATCAACAAAATCTGTCAAACAAGTTAATCCCACGAATGCTGATGTTTTGAAGTTTAGTGAGACCTTGACACATCCGTTGACTCATACACTTGCAATTCTCGAAACTTTCAAGATTTATATTAAAATATCACCTCCTGAGGTCAGTTTGTTTTTCACTGTTTCAAATATATAAATATATTTTTGGCTCTGATAAGAAACGACTGGCTAACAATTTTTGTCATGAAATGTTCAATAGTAGTAATAGATAACGAGATTGCTTTTTACAGCATGAGTAGTAGGAAAATTAAAAAATTAATTTTTTTGCTAATAAGAATGATCACTTGGGTACTGAAAGATGTGCGTGTAAGCTGTAGACATTTAAATAGCTTTGGAAAAACTGATAGTGTTGTCTATAATTTTCCATTTTGTAATAATTCTCACCGGTTTGCATTATGGATGGTCATTGGTTTTGTTTTTTGCTTCTAACTCACATGGTTGGTGAGGTGAATAAGAAGGGAAGATGTTAAGCTTTGTTGAGAAACAGACAGGAGTTATTTCTCCTTAGTTAAGACACAATTAGATTAGATTTAAGAATATTAAAGTTAATCATCCAAACACCCGATTAAGTTAGATTGAAGATTTTTTCAAATGCAAAACGTGATATTTATTTTAAAGTTAACATCTATTCATTCCTCTACTTCCATCTGTTCCTTTTCCAACATTTTCATCATTTCTGTACTACGATGGGCTTTACATCATGTAATATTTTAAGTGACATTGAACTAATGTGTGTGCTGCAATATCATTGTGATGTTTGTGACACATAACAATGTCTACAATGGAGTTGGGCAAACTGTGTCCTGGTCATTTTTAGCGGCCGCGATCGCTGTACATAATTATGTTTTACATCTGGACAAAATTTGAATTTTTTTACATCTCAATATGATGCAGGTAGTCAATAAGTGTGCGTCGG